GCTTGACTTGCAAGGACTCAAGAAGAGGCTCAAGAATGCTCGTGACAGATATGATGTGATCATCGAGAGAATTATGGAAGAGCACGGGTCTAGGAAGAACAAGGATGCAGAAGCAAGGAACATGCTAGACATTTTGCTCGACATATATGAAGACAAAGACGCAGAGATGAAGCTGACAAGAGAAAACATTAAGGCCTTCATCATGGTAAAATTGTCTTCTAATGTTTTGATATAATTTTTTTCACATGGCCTAATTCATTTTTATGCAGAACATTTACGGAGGTGGAACAGATACATCTGCCATAACAGTAGAGTGGGCTTTAGCAGAGCTTCTAAACCATCCAGAGATCATGAAGAAAGCTCAACAAGAGATAGAGCAAGTGGTGGGAAACGAGAGACTAGTCGAGGAATCAGATTTGTGCAATCTCAGTTACATACAAGCAGTGGTTAAGGAGACAATGAGGTTACACCCTGGAGGACCAATATTCGTGAGAGAATCGAATGAAGAATGCGCGGTGGCTGGATTCAGAATTCCAGCGAAAACGAGAGTGATAGTTAACGTTTGGGCGATTGGAAGAGACCCGAATCAGTGGGAAGATCCATTGGGGTTTAGACCTGAGAGGTTTGAAGGGATCGAATGGAAGGTGATGAGTGAGAAGATGGTGTCTTTTGGAGCTGGGAGAAGAAGTTGTCCTGGAGAAAAAATGGTGTTTAGATTTGTTCCATTGGTCGTAGCTGCGATAATACAATGTTTTGAGTTGAAAGTGAAGGGTATTGTGGAGATGAATGAAGGAACCGGATCCTCTCTGCCTAGAGCTAGACCTTTGGTGTGTGTTCCTGTTGCTAAAGAAGCTGTACAACCATTTCTTACATGAGAACCAAATGTAAACTTCTAGATAATAATGGTTAAGAAGAAGAAAATTAATTATGAGCAGCAAGAAAACAAACTTTAAGTTAGTAGTACAAATAGACTTTTGGCCACCAAATAACTCCTCTGTTTATTAACCAAACTTAATAAGTTTCTGTAGAAATAACATTATTAAGAAAGAATACGGAAGCATATACTATGCTCTCTGTTTTTCTCATGCTCTGTTTCTACTAGTGTAAAATATGTTTTACTGCACTTACTAATTGGTTGTAACATGCAAAGCATGTGAAGTGTCAAACTGAACCATTTTTATGGACTATCCTCTCACTTTTGACTAATCCACTTGAATCGAATTGATTCCAAAACAGAGAAACTCTCTAAAGGCAAGTTGAGATCCAATAGTAAACCAATTACCACCAACAAATGAGAATGATCAAGCTTTTTAACCTCTCTCTCTTCTTCATCCTCTTCCCACGCTCCGAAAGCTGTGACTCAAATGACAAAACTACCCTCCTCAAGATCAAGAAATCCCTAAACAACCCTCAAATCCTCAGTTCTTGGGATCCACGTAACGACTGCTGCATTCACTGGATCGGCGTCGCGTGTACACACGGCCGCATCACCGGCCTAACCATCCAGGCCGGAGACGTCGTCGGTCAGATAGCAGAGGAGATCGGCGACCTCACCGACCTCGTTATCCTAGATTGGAGTAGTCTCTATCATCTTAGAGGAACCATTCCACGCTCAATCACAAAGCTCAAGAATCTAGTTTACCTCCGGTTTAGGATAACCGAACTCTCTGGTCCAATCCCGGAATACATCAGCGAGCTTCAGAACATAACCTTTTTGGACCTCTCTTTTAACCGGTTCAATACCCGGTTCGATTTCTCAAATGCCGAAGCTAGAAGAAATACAGCTCGGTCATAACAAGTTAACCGGTTCTATACCGGAATCTTTCGGTTCATTTGTAAGGAAGGTCCCAGATCTCTACTTGGATCATAATCACCTCTCAGGTAAAACTTGTCACTCTAATTTTTTCATTAATGTTGTTTGGTAGAATAATGATATGCATATATAGATTTATGTTAATTCTAATTGCTAATGCAGGAAAAAATACCAAAGTCGTTATCCAAATCCGACTTCAACATTGTGAGTTTGTCAGGAAACAATTTCAGTGGAGACGCTTCGATGTTCTTTGGACATAACAAAACAAGTGTAAGATTGGACTTTGTCGATGAACAACTTCCATTTCGATCTCTCAGAGGTGAAATTCGCCAAGAGCTTGGTGTCATTGGACCTGAGCCATAACAATATCTACGGAGAACTTCCCTCGAGACTGACCAAGCTCCGTCTTGACCATTTCAATGTAAGTTTCAACCGTCTATGTGGGTCCATCCCTCAAGTCGGTCTGCTCCAGACTTTCGAGGTGTATGAATTCTCGAACAACCTCTGTCTATGCGGTGCACCCCTCGAACGTTGCTAGCTGATGGGTTGATCAAACACATTTTGAAAAATGTACTATGAATTCATCAAATACAAGTTTGGTTGATGTATTAAGCAATATCTGAATAAAAGTACACCTTTTTTTTTTGAAATGCATGTTAAATTATATTCAAACAAATAAAAACACACTTGTCTATAGACTTAATTGAAAATGGGGCAATTACAAAAATGCACATTTGCTAAAATGCCACTTAAGAGTGTCCATTTACAAAAATACACTAATTATAGATTTATAAAGCCTATATCTTAAAATTCTAAACCCTAAAAAATGTTTTGACACCTAAAACCCCCTAAACACTCAATACTAAACCCTAATAGAACATAATTAACCCAAACATAAATAATATAAAGAAAAAATAATTTTGAAAAAGTGGCATTTTTGTAAAGATTTCAAAAATGTGGCATTTTTGTAAAGTGGCACTTGAAAAGTGATATTTTTTGAAATTTCTCATTGAAAAAAGTAGAGAATAAAAGCTTAGTTGCTTGAATCTTTGCAATGTTAAAACATTTTTTCAATAATTAAAATTGTCCATTAAGTGCGTTTATTTCAATACAAATATAAAAAGAGAAAATTAACAAAAATACTATAATTTTGAAAATGGTCATTTTGGTGTATAACAAAAAAAAAAATTAAGTAAATGAAGGGTATGTGGCAAAATCATGACCATTGGATATGGGAGTTTTGGTTCGTTGTTAGATTATAATTATTTTTTTTGTTATTTTTGCCAATTTCCCTTTTAAAAATTCTTTTGAAAAGTTAATTCAAAATACATTTTAAAAACTACCACATTTTTTTTCTCTCCTACTCTAAAATACTATTTTACCCATTCTCGATGAATAGTGATTTGCGAGATGATGGTGAATGGTGGACAAAACGACAACGGACAAATGCGGTGATTGTGGATAGAAACGGTGGTATACAAGACGGAGACGGTGGTCGTAGAGATGGTGGTGGACACAAACGACGACTAAGACGGTGGTGGACAAGTTGGAAAACGATGGTTGGCAAACACAAAAACATTGTGGACGAAAATACGATGGTGGTTAGTGACGGTGGTGGACAAATACTGATATTGTGGTCGTGGACAAAGACTGCGACGAACACGGTGGTGATCAAAGACGGAACTGGTCATCGTGGACAAAACGACAACGGATCCTGTCCTGGACAAAAACGAAGCATTGTGGATGAAAACATATACTAATAACACAAAATCGAAAAACACGATGAACCATCTTCTCTTACGAGGGTATAATGGTCTTTCTTCGTTAGCAGAACAGTGAATTATGATATTTTTTGAAAAGTTTTATGGTTTATGGTACTTTTGGAAAGTGTTTTTTCAACAAATGGTAGTTTTAGAAAATTTTCCATATAAAAATTACAAAACAAAAAATATACTGTATATCGTTTTAAAATAACACTCGAATATTTAATATATTATTTAACACATATTAATGTCAATATTTAATTTGTTTAAAAATGATACTGAAAAATTGACTTATTCTCCACAATCGTATCATATCCTTGTATTTCGAATCGAATTCCAACACGTTTAATATAATATTTTTAAGTGAAAACAAAAAAAATTTGACTTATTCAGTTATTCTCCTAAAAATCCCATGTATGCATGTGGGCCAACGACCTAATTAGCATTAAATGACGTCGATTAGAATAAAAGGAAAATGGATCATCTGGTCACATGGAGACTTTCTTTAATTTTTTTTGGTCAGATCACCTAATTAGCATTTAATAAACTTCTAATTTTATTTTATTTTGGGTCAAAAATAAACTTCTGATCTTCTTATTATATAAAGGCAAATGCGTACGAAAAGAACGTGACACGTAAACAAAATTGTAACTCACCAGATTGTGACATGTGTCTATTGTTGAACAGATAATGACATGT